CTGGCATCTTTGGCTGCCTTGGCGTCTCGTCTTCGGAGGAGGAAATTCGCACCCGCTTTTTTTTTTCCGTCTGGTGGCGACACTGAAATCGGTGTCGTCGTTGCTTGCTGTCTCTGTCGTGGTCCTATCCTCTTCGGTCCGTTGGGTTGTCCTCTTCTGAGCGTCCATCTCGTCCGACGTAGCCTGGTGGTCCTCTGCCTCGCCTTCTTCGGTCTCTTTTGCGGCCTTCTTCGTGGCCCTGCGGAGCTTCCCGTTCAGGTCTCGATCTCCTGTTGTGCTTGCAAGAAGGCTTCTTGCAGGTTTCGCATCTGCTCTGCCAGCATGGCGACAGCATCTTTCTTCTCTTTCAGCTGGTTAGCCAGCTTCTCAATTTTCGCCATCGTAAATGACAAACAACCAATCTATCGCAATAAGATTGCTCAATATGTCCGGTGTGTCGCAGTCGTGCAAGTATACACTCGCAACGGCTGCTAGCTCGGAACTGATGTTGCGCGCACACACACCACACACCCTCCTACCCTGTGCGGTCCCTCCACCACCCCTGTTCCAGGCAACCTCATACCCTTGAGGAGTGGGGGGAAGAGCAATGTGTGAGACAGAGAGAGAGGGGGGGGGGGGGGAGAGGGAGAGTTAACGTGATTGTCGTTATAGACACTAGCGGCATTGTATGTAAAATTGCGTTGAATAAAGTTCTATCATTCCGACAGTACCTCTAGAAAGTAACTATCCCTCCAAGGTATCTCCATATAGTCGAGCTCCACAACCCATCGATGCTAGGTAAACATAAAATGTTACGGTAAGTAAGAATGGTATTATTTGTTGCATTTTCCATGTCACGATCCGTATCGTAGAAACGTAACATCACACTGTATCATGCGGTTATTGGGCTGTTGTTACTTGAATCCCAAACAGCATGAAGGAATATCGGCAAAATATTACGTGATTTTTTTTTGTTTCCTGATCCGATGATCTCTATTTTTTCTTCAACAAACGAATTGTGTGGCCCTGAGAAGGGCCGATTTCTAGTTTTGACGTTATTTTCTTATTATTATTATTATTTAGGCTTTCTTCTCTGTCTTTTCGGCAATAGGACAGCCTGAATATTCGGAAGAACTCCGGCCTTGGGCGATAGTTACGCCGGAAAGTAACTTGTTTAATCTTCATCATTCCTGATTGCTAACTGCAGATGACGTGGAATGATCCTGGTTTTTTTATTGTCGCGAGCAGCGTTGCCGGCCAACTCTAACACTTCGGCTGCCAAGTACTCCATAACGGCGGCAAGGTACACAGGAGCTCCGGCACCGACGCGTTCGGCATAGTTTCCTTTACGCAATAATCTGTGTATACGACCTACAGGGAATTGCAAACCGGCCCTACTAGACCTGGATTTTGCCTTTCCTTTCACTTTTCCGCCTTTTCCTCGTCCGGACATGTTTATTTGTTTATTATTTTCTTTTTGACTTGCGAATCGCCGACTACAATCTGCTGTCGTTGACCGCCGAATTAATAGAATAGAAATGGCAATGTTTTTTTTTTTTTTTTTTTTTTTTTTTTTTTTTAACGAGGGGGGAATGCATTTACGCACCATACCCTAGCACGAGCTACGACGTGTGTGGGGCTCCAGGGTCTTGAAGAGATCACCTAATACCCACTAAACCTAAACTCCGCGTGGCCCGACTCATCAGGTCTCGGTAGGCCATGTGTTGTGCGTGGACCTGCGGTCTGCTACAACGTCTCCTCATGTGTTTCAGTCTTGGGAACGCAGGGTTGGTTCCCTTTACCTCGCACATTCTATCGATGTCGTTAAGCGATCATCGATAGAGGGTCTGCTAGTTTCTCTTGAAACTCTTGTTTTCGAAAAATCAAGAGTTTCAAGTCATCTTACCAATATGTTGTTCCTGGTCCTGGTCCTGAAGGGTCCTGGTCCTGGTGGGTCCTGGTCGTGGCGGGTCCTGGTCCTGGTTGGTCCTGGTCCCGGTGGTTCCTGGTCCTGCATCCACGCCGTGGGGGGGGGGGAGCAGCCGCAAATTCTCCTAGTCTCCTAGTCAAGGTTCCAGTTAGCGGGTGCCAACTGGGACCTTGGTCTGGGGTACCTGGTTCTGCGGTTGCGAGGCCTCTCGTCCGGATCGTAGTCCATGAGGAATCGTAGCTGCTCGTTCGGGTGGTCCTGAGCTTTCTCGAAGGTCTTCTCCGCTTTTTTCCTCATGTACTCGTGGATGGTATCCCAATGCAGGTCTCTACGCAAGGTTGAGTTCCTTACGTAGGAAGGTGCATTGGTGGCGATCCGGAGTAGCTTCATCTCTAGAGCAGCAAGTCGCTTGCGGTAGCTGGGGGCAGCGTACCCCCAGACCGCGGAGGCGTAAGCGAGCTGAGGTCTGGCGATGGCCTTGATCAGCCGTAGCTTGGTCGCTAGCGGCATCTGGCTGTGTCTACCCAGTAATGGATAGAGTTGAGCCATGGCTGCTCTGGTTTTTGCGATGACAGCTTCTATGTGCGCTTTCCAGGTGAGGGACTTGTCAAAAACGATCCCCAGATATTTGACATTGTCGCTCCACTGGATATCTTCATCGAAGATGGATGCTTCGAGAGGTCTTGCAATCCTTCTTCGTTGAATGAAGATTGCCTGCGTCTTCTGGACGTTGATGCGGATTTTCCATTTCACGCACCAGTCCTGAATTTGGTCCAGTTCACCCTGTAGTCTCCTACGGATGATCTCGGGTCGTCTATGCTTGGCGGCTATAGCAGTGTCGTCTGCATATAGGGCCAGCATTGTGTCAGCTGTCTTCGGCACATCGTAAGTATAGATGTTGTAGAGCAGGGGGGCTAAGGCTGACCCCTGGGGCACGCCTGCTTCCAGCTGACGTCTTGTTGAATGGCATGTACCAATCTTCACCGTGAACCATCTTTGTGTTAGATAGCTCTGGATCAGTTGGCACATGTTCGCATCGATTCCGGCGGCTTCCATTTTGGCGATGAGTCCATCGTGCCAAACTCGGTCGAAGGCTCGTTCCACGTCCAGCAGGACGAGACCGGTTGCCTCCTGGAGATTGAAGCCGCTGGTGATGTTTTCCGTCAGTCGTAGCGCTTGGAGTTCCGTGTTGTGGGAGGATCTGAAGCCGAATTGCTCTGGGGGGAAGTTGCAGTTCTTCTGCCTGCTTCTCTAGTCGAACGGCGATAGCCTTTTCGACTACTTTGCCCACCGAGGAAACCAGGCTGATGGGCCGGTAGTTCTGGGGCAACTTCCGGTCCTTGCCTGGCTTGGTGAGCATTATAACCTGGGCTTCCCGCCACCGCCGCGGGAAGTGGTTAAGTCTCAGAGTGGCATTGGCGATGTTGGTGAGCGCAGCAATGCCTTTGGTGGGAAGGTTCTTCAGCATCCTATTGTTGATGCCGTCCCTTCCCGGCGCCTTTCTGACCTTCAACCTGCGGATGATCAGACGGATTTCCTCCGGACTGGAGGGGTGATCCGTCTCCTGGCCAGGTGGTCGACTCCTCATGTTTTCGGCTGCGACTTCCACGGCCTCCTCGTGGTTGTCGTCTTCGTCTTCATGGTAATTGAGTCTGCATTCGGATTCTAGCGAATCGGCGAATGCTTCGGCTTTTTCTTCACTGGAGTAGGCCAAGCCGCGTTGGCCGTGAAGAGTGGGGATCGTGGTGCGCTGACGACGAAATTTTCGCTGCATAGACCAGGCCGTACCATCCTGGGTCTCTAGTTCTGCACAGGCTGCATTCCATCTGTTGTTTTGGAGTTCCGCGAGTGCGTTCTTCAGAGCTAACGATGCTCTGTTTCGCGCAACTCTCGACTCCTCTGTCAACAGCTGGAGATGTTCTCGCTTGAGTCTTCTGTTCTCCCTGATCAGGTGCCTAATATGGTGCGGTGCTGGACCATTTAGGTATCTAGGAACTGCCGTAGTCTCGGAGCGGGTGCTGCCCTCGTGCGCTCGCAGGACAGCATTCTCCAGCTCCTCTACTGCGTTGTCCAGTTCCTCCGCTGATCGGATGGTTGGAATTTGAGTGATGTTCCTCTGGACGTTGGATTTGTAAAGGTTCCAGTTCGTCCGTTGGTGCTCAAGCTATCTCGAGTTCTAGACCCTGTACCAAGTGTTAGTAGAATCGGATTGTGGTCCGACGATCCTTCCACCAGGGTCTCTATCTCGAACTCCTCTCTGATGTTGCGGAGGATGGCTATGTCCAGTACCGCAGGTCGCCCAAGGCCGAATGGAATGTAGGTTGGTTGCTCCGGACCGACGATGACCCCCGCCAGGGCATCGACGTGTTCCTGAGCTGCCTTGCATTCCTGTCTTCGAACGTTGTTGTTCCAAGCCGGAGACTTGCAGTTTAGATCTCCGATGACTATGCGTGCTCCTGGGCCTCTCAGGAGGTCAGCGATGTCATCTTCGTCTAGGGCCCTCCCCTGGTGGCACATATAGGGAGGTGATTCTGTAGGGACGGTTGGTTGTGATGGACCTGGACCGTGATTCCGTCCCCATTTATGTCTGCGGCATCGTCGAGGACATGACTCGTCAAGGTACGTTTGACGAGTAATGCGACTCCTCCACCTCTGCCCCTTCTGTCGTACCGGTACGTCTCGTACCGCGGGAAACGTCAGACTATGGGCAGCATCCAACTTCGTTTCTGGATGGCCATCACCTCTGGTTGGTTACTGGTCTAGTATCTCCTGGATTTCTGGTTTCCGTGCCCTGAAACCGTTGATGTTCCAGGAGATAATGCGTAGAGATTCTACGTTTTGACCTGTAGACATTTCGGGTCTAGTGCTTGTCTTGCATCTTGGCCTCGAGTGCATCCAGGCGGGTTATGATGGCTTGCATCATTGCTAGCAGTCTGTCATCGCCGTGGTTGCTTCTGCGCAGTAGTTCCAGTAGCAGTGGCGGCTGCTGGGGCAGGAAGTGGACATAGGCTTCTTCACTTTTTGGGCGTAAGAAGTCCTATTTGTGGTGGGGACTGCTTTGGGGGCAGAAGCAGCTTTCTTCGGCGCCTTACTACATCCCTTGTAGTTGGCGGGGTGGCCTTCTCCACAGAGGCAACACTTGGCGTTTCGTTGCCCTGTTGGCGGCCGCTGGCAGACTGCAGCTGGTGCTGTTGTGGTCCTCTCCACACTTAACGCACCGTTCAGCGAGACGGCAGTTCCGCTGTGTGTGCCCGTACCGCTGGCAGCGGTAGCACTGGCTGGGCTCGGAAGACTTTTTCTTCCTCTCGAAGCTGACCGTGAGCATGGCCAGCCTCTGGATCTCTGCAAGCTTTTCCGGCATCTTCGTCTTGACGAGGAAGAGCGGAAGTGGCTTCTTTGTGGTCCTTGAGGTCAGCTGCTGAACCACGGCGTCTGCGATGCCTTGGCTCTCCAGATCCTCTTTGATGTCATTGACTGACATCTCTCTCGGAAGCCCACGAATGACCCTCTGGTCCATCCTGTCCTCCTTCAGTTGATATGTGAAGAAGGGCCGCTTGATGGATTCAAGCAGTGCGACTAGCTGACGGTAGTCAGCTGGTGTATTTGTGAATACCTTCACACTGGTACCCGCCGTCCTCGCTTTGGAGAATTGAATCCCCTTGCTGTTCATCATCCTACTCAAGGATGACCAATCAGCGGTGCCCTCGATGTTGATTGGCGGAACTCCTGTTCCTGCCATGGGGGCCTCGGTGGTCCTGGTTGCTCTAGGACCACTCTTCTTTGTGGCAGCTGGCATCTTTCGCTGCCTGGGTTCTTCTTCTTCTTCTTCGGAGGAACTCGCACCCGCTTCCTCCGTCTGGTGGCGACACTGAAGTCGGTGTCGTCCGTCCTCTTCTCGGCTTCTTCTTCCTTCGGTCCTTCGGTCTGTTGAGTGCCCTCTTCTTGGGCGTCCATCTCGTCCGATGTCGCCTGGTGGTCCTCTTCCTCCTCTTCTCCTGTCTTCTTGCGGCCTTCTTCTTGGCCCTGCGGAGCTTCCCGCTCAGGTCTTCAATTTCCTGTCTGGCCTGCAAGAATGCTTCTTGCAGGTTTCGCATCTGCTCTTCCAGCATGGCGAACGCATCCTTCTTTTCTTTCAGCTGGTTAGCCAGCTTCTCAATTTTGCCATCGTAGATGGCAAACAAACAATCTATCGCAATGAAAATTGCAATAAGATTGCTCAATATGTCCGGGTGGGTCGCAGTCGCACAAGTGTATGCTCGTGACGGCTGCTAGCTCGGAACTGGGGATGGCAATGTCTTTAGGTACGAGTATATTTATATAACTACTCCGACCAATCACCGTTTTCGTTTGTCGGTCACCCGTAAGGGGCGGAGTCTATGTCGGTAACGTCGTGGCTGTTAAAGCTCGCCGTTTATCCGCACACCTTTCCATTATAGATCACGATATTGTGTCAGTAAAGATCGTACTTTTTGTGTAAATCGAAACGCGATGCCACCCAAAACTAGCGGTAAAAGCAGCTAAAAAGGCCGGTAAGGCTCAAAAAAATATTTCCAAGTCTGATAAGAAAAAGAAACGCAGGAGGAAGGAAAGCTACGCAATTTACATCTACAAAGTGCTGAAGCAGGTACATCCAGATACCGGTATTTCCAGCAAAGCGATGAGCATCATGAACAGCTTCGTCAACGATATTTTCGAACGTATCGCAGCGGAAGCATCCCGATTGGCACATTACAACAAACGTGCCACGATAACTAGCAGAGAAATTCAAACAGCCGTTCGACTATTGCTACCAGGAGAATTGGCCAAGCACGCCGTCAGCGAAGGTACCAAAGCCGTAACCAAGTACACCAGTTCGAAGTAATATGTAACTACGACGACAACAACAACATCAACAACAACTTACAACATAAAAACGGTTCTTTTCAGAACCACTAAAGTTATCAAGTAAAGATAATGATATCACCGTACGCGCAACATATATATTATTGGTACTTGAATACCAGATGATTATTCGTGATATACATACACCACTAAAGCAATAACGTCTGATATAAGACCCGACCGGATTATTTAATGGTAAACGAAAGCGTAAAAAAAAGGGGATATCCTTACGACGCAATCGACTGTTTAACGTTCATTCGTTTAATTAAACACAATACATACTTATTTATACCCTTAAAAGCAAATATCGATGGTGACGACGCCTAACATTACCACTTGCTTATAAATACCTAATCGTAAACGAATAATACTCGAATTTAATAAAAAAAAAAAAAAAAAAAACATCAACGCACGTACGAGCCGCAGTTGTACATGTATATTTCGATACAAAATTGCTAATTCGTAAATATTCTGTATCCTTTTTATAGTAATAGTGGTGGCCCTGAAAAGGGCCATTTTCAATCCGCGGGGACGTATAGCATCCTCTCGCATAAATATAACGTCTCGAACCGACGTAGCCGTAATCTACGACGTTGCAACACGTCTAAATTTTTTTTTTTATTTCTTCTTTTTGGGTGAAGCGGCCTTCCTTTTTGGCGATGTTGCAGCCTTCGCCGTTTTCGGTTTTGGTGCTTTTGGCTTCTTGGTCGGAGCTCCCTTGCTGGATTTCTTCGCCTTCGAAGGAGATTTTTTTTGCAGCCGCTGCAGAAGGTGCAGCAGAAGAAGCTTTAGCCGACGTCGCCGATTTCCCACTTTTCTTTGTCTTAGCTGGAGAAGCTTTCTTCTCGGCCGCACCACCGGCCACCGCCGGTTTCTTAGCCTTCGGAGATGCCTTCTTCGCAGATTTCGCACCGCTAGCTCTCTTAGCTACGGTTCCGCTCTTCTTTGAGCCGGTCGCGGATTTCTTCTTCTTTTCGCCAACCTTTGCGGCTGACGATGATGAAGTTTTCGACGCTCCGCCAGCCGATGACGAAGCTAGCTTGAACGATCCGGAAGCTCCTTTGCCTTTCGTCTGTACTAAAGCTCCAGACGCGACGGACGATTTTAAGTACCTCTTGATGAAAGGCGCAACTTTCTCAGCGTCTACTTTGTAATTAGCGGCTATGTATTTCTTGATAGCTTGCAGAGACGACCCGCCACGCTCTTTTAATCCTTTAATTGCGTTGATGACCATTTCGCTAGTAGGAGGATGAGACGGCTTCGCCCTCGGATTCTTCGGTTTTTTCTCCTTTTTCGCAGACGACTGCGACGTCGGCGACGCAGAATTCGCGGTAGCCGTAGCCGACGGCGTCGTAATTCTGGTTTTCCGTATCTGCCATGTTTACGAGTCGTGAAGAGGAGACAGATTATTGTATACGCGCGATCTTTTGCAATCACTGATCGACGATCTCGCTAAGAGAACGAATGTCGAATGAATGTGAGAGGTAAATTCAGCGTCGTGACCCAAGTCATTTCGGTCGGACCGAACATTGAACGCTCCGACTTTGCAGCGAAACCGATTTCGACGGCTTCAATTCTGCCAAGCCTGCGGTCGTATCTGTTGGTTTTTTGAGTCGCTGATATAATTGCATACGAGCAACAGCTAAAACCTGAACGAATATGAAATCTGCATAATTTGAAATACACATTTAACTTCGCGACTTGATCACGTACGCTACGTACACGATAAAATTATAAGGTGAAACGTGCAAGGTATCCGCTTTGGACCTAATCGTCCGGCTTTTTGATCTAATTTATATTATACGAATACGTTATATAATTAGATATTTCATGAAATTAACAATCTACGACTATTCGTAATACAATTATACTGTCGGTATACGGCTAATGGATAAGGTATTTTAGATAATCGCAATTATACGGAGGTATGTCTGGCGTACATCCGAACGTGCACAGTCGCGAAATATATCGCGATAATTTTAACATTACTCCTGTAATATGACAAATAGATAATAATATGAGACATCAATCTATTATTCGTAATAAATAAGCCAGAGTAAGAAAAATATTATATATAATATACGAGCGATCGAGTTATAAATTCATCTCTTACTACATATTAATTATTAGACGTACGCATTACTGACTTTTGATCTACGTGAAAGTACCTAATGTTACGTATTACACGCTAACAGCCTGCCTAAACGCCTAAGCAATATATACGGCAAAATATCTATATTATGTCGAATATCTACATTATAATCCACATGCTACTTATAAGTTATTTTACTTCCATACACATACATACAATTCGTACGTTATTAGAATAATATCAATGTAAACGGTTTACTACAAAGCACCACAATCCTTCGATATAGGATAACGGGTAATAACTAGCGACTATCGTATAACCATTTAGGCGCTATTTTGCATACACGATAATAGTGTCGAAATTGCACGCGTACAAACAACAATCTGATATACTTAACATAATACACGATCCCCTTTTTCTGAACATACTATATGATGGTTCTGAAAAGAACCGTTTTTTTTTTTATAACCTATTATCGCACGCCGTACTCTCTCTCTCTCTCTTCTCTCTCTTTCCGGCAAATAGTAAATCCGTCAATTCCATTAGGCACGTTCGCCCCTAATACGTCTTGCCAGCTGTATATCTTTCGGCATGATCGTTACTCGCTTAGCGTGGATCGCGCACAAGTTCGTATCCTCGAATAGTCCGACCAGGTACGCTTCGCTAGCTTCTTGGAGTGCCATTACAGCAGAACTTTGGAATCGCAAATCGGTCTTGAAATCTTGCGCTATTTCACGGACCAGCCGTTGGAAAGGCAATTTTCTGATCAACAATTCGGTACTTTTCTGATAACGACGAATTTCTCTGAGAGCCACAGTTCCCGGACGATAACGGTGAGGTTTCTTAACTCCGCCAGTAGCAGGAGCACTTTTACGGGCAGCCTTCGTGGCTAATTGCTTCCTGGGAGCTTTACCTCCGGTGGATTTACGAGCCGTCTGCTTGGTACGCGCCATTACGTTAAATTTCAGATAACTGAATATAAATTATCTATATAGCAGCGACGTGAATATTGCAACGGACAATATTATAGTGAGCGGAGGTAAACACCGCGAACAGTTATATTTATATGGGCTCGAAATACGAAACAGTCTGATTGGCCAATTGATAGACCAATAGGAGGGACGACAACGCTAACAAAACCGGGCGTCACGAGAGACGTACCGTCAGTTGGCAACAGCCCGTTCGCTTTAACAGTTCGACGTGCGAGAGAATCTTGAAAAATGACTGGACGCGGTAAAGGTGGTAAAGGATTGGGAAAAGGAGGAGCGAAAAGGCATCGTAAAGTTTTGAGGGATAACATCCAGGGAATTACGAAACCGGCCATAAGAAGATTGGCGCGACGTGGAGGAGTAAAACGTATATCCGGATTGATTTACGAAGAAACTCGAGGAGTGCTCAAAGTCTTTTTAGAGAACGTAATCAGGGATGCAGTCACTTACACCGAGCACGCTAAAAGGAAGACAGTCACTGCAATGGACGTCGTATATGCATTAAAGAGACAAGGACGCACTTTGTACGGATTCGGTGGTTAAACACTCCGCAGCAATTACCACGGTACAGGTTGAACGAAAATACAATACAAAGAAAAAAAAAACGGTTCTTTTCAGAACCACCATATACTCTCGTGAGAAAGAATGGATCTGCCGATTGAACCGCCACATTAATTTTCTATTTTTTTTTATACAAAATAAAAAGAAACACTCACATAAATGAGTTTATCGGAATATGAGAAATTGATCGACTTATACGTTTTGGCTCTTTGAATT